TGCCATGTGGTAGTATTGGCCCACCCCCTTAAGGAGGAGATTTTCTTAATAACTTGTTCAATGAGTGTCCAAATGATATGCCGTGATGTATGTAGCATAAACAGATGTAGTAGAAGAGTTTGCAGCAATCGTTGAGTAGTATTGCTTCTGTTGTTGGTGTGATAAGCCAAGATATGTATGGTGACTTGTAGGTTTGAGGAGGAGATTTCTAAGTTTGCTCTTGAGTTTGATAGCAAACTGAGTGCAACGAATGTCAGTATGACACTTTCCTTAAGAAAGGGCAAGCAGGCAATACAGTAAATCGACTAGCACATACTTCTACGTCTTTTCCAAGCTTCCAAGCATTCATATTGTTATTCTCTGTTTTTGAAAAGTCAGTGAGGTGCTAACCTCTGACTTACCCCTGAGTTCTCAGACTCAACATTTGTTGCAACTTGTCTAAAACACTTCACCACATCATACACCTGATTGCTGCGTTGTGGAATAGTCTAAGCTACAACCCTTTGGCTCTGTTTCCTAAGACAGTGTGTTGTCTTAGTAAATTCATCCCTTCCTTGGGTGGCTAGATTCTCATATCTGGTGCACCCACCATTACAGTGAAGAGTATGGGGCTTTGCTTGCTTCAATGAACCCTTTTGGCAAAATCAAGTTCTTCCTTTGACATATTCCAGAGTGGTGCATATCCCAGCTTTGCATCACCTTCGAGTTCAATATGATGGTCTGAAGGTCGATGGGGAGGTAGCTTGTCTGCTGCCATTTTTGAAAAAACATCCAAAAATTCATGAAATTCCTTCGGAAGGATCAGTCGAGAGTCAATTTCTTCAGTTTTGGTCTTGTTCTTGTGCTCGATTATGTCCTTCATTGATATAGCAAAGACTTGAGCTCCTCTTTGCTTCATGAGCATTCGAAATGGTGCTGCACCAATCATTGCTATGGTGCAAGGTTTTGGTTTTTCCACTTTCAGAGCAGGTTCCGGAGGAGGCATTTCTTTGGCTTTCTTCTTTGGCCTTTGTGTTTCGCTTTTAGATATAGGCTCTGTTTTGAGGGCTCGATCTGGTATAAAATGGTTGCAATAATCTCCAGTGAAGAGGACTTGATCATTGATCATATCGAGAACAACTCCATGTTGCTTCATCCAAGCTTTCCCGAGAATGATGGAATGTTTTCCCAGCGAAGTAATGAATAATGGACATAGGCTTTACACATGCTCTCCCACTTGTAGTCGAGGATATATAGCATGTGTGATAGCAGGGGCAGCCTCTCCATTGAATCCTTCAACTTGTTTTGGCTTCACAAGTTCGACTGGGGCTATCCCTTCGATTTCTCACATTCTTTCTGCATCAGCAGCATTAATGAAGTTTCCACCTGTGGCACCAGTATCGATCAATGCATGGACAATAGCTTTGTATTTTCCTATTCTACAAGTAGCTAAGAAAGGGGTGTCCGGATCAAAACTGGATCTCGAGGAAGAAGCTGCAATTCTGGCTGCACTGCCTCTAGTGATGACTTGTCTAGAGGCTATTCGTTTTCCGAATCGATGATAGACTCAGCTGTAGATACCTCATTCACTTGAGCTTTGAGCTTCTGGGGACAGTCTCGAGCTCGATGTCCATTTTGTCAGCATATGAAGCATTTCCCAAGTTTCATGAGCATTTCTTTTGCTGGATCTTGATGCGGTGGTCGATACAGCTTCTGCGTCTTGTTTTGCATGTTGGAATCATTGTAGGTTGAGGGATTGAAGTTCGAAGTGCCTGGCCCTGATTTTGAGTTTGGCCCATGTTGTTCGAAAATGACTTTGGCTTCCTTTTGTCTTCTTGTTCCTTGATCCGCTGAATGTTCTGGTCGATGAGCATGCATTTCTTTGCAAACTCGTGAAGTGTAGTAGCTCCAACTTCAGCCACTAAGGCTTTCTGCATCTGTTGGTTGACTTTGAAGCGCAAGTCATCCAGCAAAGTTTCTTCAGAGTAATCAAGCTCTGTCGTGAGCCTTTGGAACTCAGCCCAGAACACTGCAAAGGTGTTGTTTCTCTGATACAGCTTTCGATACTCAGTTTGAGCTGTGTGCCTTCGATCGGGATCACTGAAGACTTTTTCCAAAAGTTCGAGAATTTCTTCTGCTGTCTGCAATTTGTTTGTAGAGTTTGGTCGAAGCCTTGGATTGACATGTCGAACTGCCAGTCCTCCCAGTCGACTCTGAATGTAGCTCATTTGTAAAGTCTGTGTTGGAAAATGATCAATGTTGGCTTCGAGCTTGAGGCGAATTTTCACAACCCAGTCTTTAAATGCTGGCTCTATCCCATCTGTGAGGATTGGAGGGTCTGGAATCCGAGCTGACAGTCGACTGTGAGAGTGGTGTCCTGGTTCATTCTTCAGAGCTTGTTGGGTTTGCTTTTCAAGATATTTCTGAATTGTTTGTTGCTCTGTGATTTGTTGCTCGTTGCTCTGGATCAGTTCCTGTAACTGGAGAATGGCATCATCCTTTTTAGCCAGTATCGAATTTGAGTCCTCTGCTAGGGCCAAATAGTCCCGAAGAATGTTCTTGTGCAAAGTCCATGCCATTTTCTGGTTGGCGACAGATAGTTTCTGGAATTCGTCAAAGGTTTCAACATTCCATTCAGCCTTTTCATATCGATTTGCAAGTATAGATTCATGTCTCTCTTGAGCTGTTTTGCCCAGAGTGTGAAGGAAGGTTTCGGATTTGAAATTAGCTGGTCTTGTTCTAGATCATTTCGAGCTGCCATTGCAGCTTTTTCTTCAGCTGTATAAGCCATAGCGAGTTGCTATTTCAATTTCAGTTTATATCGTCAAGTCAGACACATATTGCCAAAGGCCCTATTGTGCAGTTGTTGGCCGTAGGATCCACTCGAGAGGAGCGCACTTCCCTCACAGTTATATCCTTGTCGAGGGAGCGTTGTAAAAGGTCTGACTTGCGAAGGTGGTGTGTGTGTGTCGAGCTGACTGTCGAAAGCCAACTTTGAGGGGTTGCCTCGAGATCGTCCTGGAATCGACTTCAGGATAAGGTTTCTGGTTCTAGGGTTTTCAAAGAGTGGATTTCGATTTCGATTTCAGAAGAGGGTTCAGCTCAAAGAGCAGGAAAAGAGGTATAAGAGAGATTGAGTTTTATGTCACGGTTCACCAAGGCATAGGGCGCCAGTTGGGTATTATGAATTAAACTCAATCTAGAGAAGAAAAGAAAGAGAAGAGGAGCACTCGAGCAGTGGCTCGATCTATATACAGCTATGTTGTTGTGGAGTGAATTCTCTTTAGCGAGACCAGTTCTGAGAATTCACTCCACAACTGAAAACTTCGCTCCAACCCCGGAAAGCTCCCCACACCCCTGAACCCCCACTCGAGCTGCAAGGCGCACTTGATATCGTAACAGTTACCTACAAGATTGGTTAAGTTATGACATAATCTGTCTATAGGGGTACTCTGACCTTGTTCACTTCCTATAGGCTAGGAACCTAGGAGATGGTTCTATGGGATTCTCTTACGTCGACTACAGTTACCAAGCCTGGTTAGTCATGGAAAGTCTTGGAAAATGAGAGAACTACACTCCTTTAGCATAAATAGGATTGCCCTTTCCTTAAGAAAGGGCAAGCAGACAATACAGTAAATCGACTATCACATACTTCCACGTCTTTTCCAAGCTTCCAAGCATTGATCTTGTTACTCCTTGTTTCTGAAAAGTCAGTGAGGTGCTAACCTCTGACTTATCCCTGAGTTCTCAGACTCAACATTTGTTACAACTTGTCTAAACCACTCCACTATATTATACACCTGATTGCTGCGTTGTGGAAGTAAAACCATCCCTTACTTGGGTGGCTAGATTCTCACATCTGGTGCACCCACCATTACAGCTTCGAGCAATGCGTGTGCGAAACGCTTCCTGACAATACACGAACCCGCACTTTCAACTGCGCTTCCAACAACCTTTCGAATACCCGCGACAGCTAGGTCAACACCATCCAGCTGGAATACGAACACATACCGGAGAGACAGGGCTGGATCTTGGGGGGAGCTGGACTTGGTGATGGGAGGGCAAGGGCATTCGGAGGGGCGGCAGACACTTCGCTCAAGGATTGCGTACCTGGTAGGATAACCAGTACGTTTGATGCCACGCTTCGCAAGTGGCATCACGACTCCTGGTTGGGGTGAGGGTCTGAGCAGTAGCTACTGGTAGATAGAGTAGAATATAATATACGGTATATTACACTATTTACCATTGATGATCCTGTCCACCGTGACCTGACCACCACTGGCGCGCCATCAACACTGCCGTACTACTGGGGAGTGGCCGGCTACATCGTTGTTGGTACACCACCGCCTTACAACAGTCACTTTTCATCCGCGGCATACGAAGCACTGCGGAGGATCACAAGATTTACAGCGGCTTCAATTATACAGTCTAGTTATATATGACCGTGTAGTGGCATCTACTGCCAAGGCTTCATTCGACCGTCGCTGGCCATGCCCGGTCGAGGTAGTCAACCGTAGCATCGCTGAGGGAGCACGGTCGAAGCTCTCCACGGTGGATAACCCACCCACCACCCTTACCAAAATAGATGGTGCGCCGGTAAGGTACTTCCTAATTACTTATTGACTGAGCATAACTTAGCAATTTTATGTTCCTAGATGATAAATCCCCGCAGTATATACTCATGGTATTGGACAATTGGTCATTAGTTATCAAATCATGGAGTTGTACGCAGCAAACAAAATCTCCATACTCATACTTTACCATACAAACTGCATGTAATGCGCGGTGGAAGGTGCAGCAAACGCGGGCTGACGTGCACAGACCAATGACGGAGGCCAATAACTTTCCATCAGCGATCTCATTCTGGCCTCCCAGGCTTCTGAACATGCTTTCTACAACACTTTGCCGCTGTCATACTTTTGTTGTGATATCTCGGCGCATAGGCGCCATATATCTCATTCGTATACCTCCTCAACAAACTCATAATTACCAACACTGTCGCTTCAATCCACACTCGCACCATGAGTCTCGACAGGCTGCTCCATGGCGGCTGTAGCTGTGGCCGTAACACCTTCATCATCGAGATGCCCCCCAAGGCATCCGACACAGCCCAAGTGATTTTTGATGGCAACAATTCCTTCCGTAAGCTTCTTTCCCTAAACATCTCTCCATCAAACCCACCGCCGAGGAAACCATCCCAAGCCCCCGCTAACCTCGAACCACCCAGGCATCTCGCCACTCGCAGCCCACCTTAGAGTACCCCTCGCCTGGTACCACTCCGCAACCCACGCCTTCTTCCCCGACGAAACGCACCCCGCCATCCGCCGTGCCTACGCGCCCTCCTCCAGCTCACTCCGCCACTTCTGCGGCTTCTGCGGCTCGGACCTCGCGATGTGGTCCGAGGCGCCAAGGGGAGAGGGGGAATACATCAGTCTCGCGCTCGGGTCGCTGGACCGAGGCGACCTCCACGACCTAGGCGAGCTGGGGCTGCTCCCACAAGAGGAGGCAGAGAAACGACTGAGCGTACGGCCCGAGGAGCCTGTAGCAACTCGAGCAGCACCGCGTGTTGGCGAGGGCCTGCCATGGTTCGAGGCGATGATCGAGGGGAGTGCATTGGGGAGGATGAAGGTCCGGCGGGGGCTGGAGGAGAAGGATGGGAGGAGGGTTGAGTGGGAGGTTGTGGAGTGGACGGAGGGCGGAGAGGAGGCGGAGGCCGATTCCAGCGCGGGGGAGGTGGCCGCGGGCGGGAAGCGGAAACTAGAGGATGATCATGCGGATATGGGGCGTCGATAGGGCTGATGGGGCCGGTGATCTGCGATAGCCGCGTTTCCGCACGTCTTGTCTTGGGGTTCGTGGGATGGGCTGTGCTGTAGTGTGTTATGGGATGGCGTTTGGTGACAGTACTGGGGGAGCAGCGGGCAGATGGAGAATTATAGTCGAATAAATGGCATCTCTGCTTCGTTGGGATGTGTATAGTGGCCGTCCGGTGGGGGATCTTCGGGGGTGACTCGGAACGTGAAGTTTGGGGAAAAGAGAGTATATCCGTAAGGCTCCTGGATTATCTATTTAGGAGCGGGCAACATCAGGAAGATGTGTGTGTTTGGTTGGAAGAAGGAAAACGTTCCATCATGTGTGTCGCCAACGCATACTACTAATAATATACGATCGTAACGCTCTAATGTAGATTATACAAAGCACAGGCTATATTACCGCGGATGAGAAATGTGGGTTTTCAGGCAGGTACTCGAAGCCATCTCCACTCTAGACGTTATGGTTAGGATTCTGGACTCCACAGCACAATATGAAAATCTCATATCTACATACTGTGCAGCGTACAGCGCGAGGAAAAAAGTGAGAGATCGCCTATGTGGCCCGTCCAGTCGCCAACAGAGCGGGGTTGAGGGCCGCAGCGCCGCAAGAGTTGATCCCCCAGAGTTACCCCGCCATCATCGTGCCCCTCCTTTTTCGGTCGTGACGGTCCGAGTGATAGAGTTGAGGCATTGGCAACACACAAAACACCGGCGATGGCGGCTCAATTACTATGAGAGTCCTCCCTGCTACCTGACATGGCGTAGCTTTCCATCCTCCGTGCTGACCCTTGGCTCTTTGTATATAACACTGCGATTCCCTTGCCCAGCTTGGTGCGGGGTCCACGCAGTTTCTTCTCTCTCCAACTCATCTATTCCTGTGATCGCTGCCCATATCTGCGATCCATACTGAGATCCTACCGAACCAAGAGAATTAATCCCCATTCACTTCGCCACGGTGAGCACTGGATCACCTTCAACGAGCCGTGGTGCTCTAGCATCCTGGGATACAGCACCGGTCTGTTTGCCCTCGGTGTTACGTTTGTGGATTATGAGGGAGGGCAGAAGAGGTTCCCTAGGAAGAGTGCTACGGCTGTGGGACCGTTCTTTGATAAGCTTATTAAGAAGGAGTAGAGTGGGGCTGAGGGATAAAAATGTGATGTGATGTGATATGATATGTGATAGGTAGGCTCAGGGTTGGGCTAGGATTAGTTTATTTTATAGGTATGCATTCTGTTATGGATGTGAAAATTGTAGATTCGTATGTGCCTACTTCCAGATTTCTGGGTTTGCCTCTTTCCTCGCCATGCCGTGTTATTATTGTATATGAAGGTGTTCGAAATATGGCTTGGCCCTGTCCTTGGACGACTTGGTTTAACCTCGCAGGCTGTCTCATTCCGTGGCGCACTAATTCGTGAAACTCTCCTCTTCATCGAAGACAGCGTATCATCGTCCAGACGCTTCATACCCCATCCCGAGACGCCCAGTGGCTGCGGATGGCCCGCCATGCATCCTAAGAGACCGCCTTCGCCAACGAAAGCAGCGTCATGCTCCGCCTCTATATTACATACCCTTCCCACGTGTCCCCTCTCACTTCACAACCACCCCCCTAACCTTCTCCCAACACTGCAAAATCGTCCCCGCATTCTTCTCCCTCGTATCATCCCTATCCCCATGAATCCACAACCCCATAACTCTCTCCCCCTCCCCCTCCCCCGGCACCCTCAGAATCAAAAACTCACTCGTAACCTCCATATCCCTCACCTCCCTCACATCCAACACCAAATTCTCCAGCCCATGTCTATTCAACACCGTCACCACAAACCCATCCTCCGTCTCACACACGAACAGCGCGCCCTCGATCCCGCTCTTCTCCCACTGCCCCGTTGAGGCCGAGAAGGCGTAGACGACCGCGTTGGCGGCGATGGAGAGGATGGTGCGCGTGCTGGGGAAGTAGCGACGCAGGACGGAGAGGTTGAGGTCGGTGTTGGTGCGGGTGGGGGGGGGGAGGTGGGGGGGCATGTCGGAGTCGTTGTCGGATGCTTGGTGGGGGTTGGGGGGTTGTGGCGGCGCGCGCGCTGTTTGGGGCGGTTGGGGGCGGACATGGTGGGTGGATGTTTGGAGGTGGATTGGGTGGTGGTGGTGGTGAGTTGGAGGTTGGGGGTGAGTTCGTGAGGCTGCGATAGTAGTGCGCTTTGAGGAGGTTTGCGGTGCCGGTTGAGCTGTTTCTTAAGGTGGCTGGTATGTTTGGCTTATATCGCTCTCGGCAATTTAGCTACGGCTTTGGAGATATTCGTAGGTTGCGGTGTTGATTGCTCAATGTTGTGTTGTAGGTAGGTTGCGATGGAGCTCAAGCAAGTCGCCCAGTACGTCCATCGATTCACGTGCCTCAGTCTTGCGCTAACCACACCCACGCATGATTCGTGGGGTAACGTACGGGAGCGCGGGATGCTATAACTTTGACCCCGCCAGTCTGCCCACAACTCGAAGCGGCCTCGACCACTCAGTGAGCTTCATTATCGGAGCTGAATGATCTCCCTTTGACGCCCCATAAGTTTCGCTGCCAACGCGAAGGGAGTGCTTTTCAGATGCTGTGGACCAACCCAGCTGCGCCTTGATCAATGCCACGCTACGTCATTACCGCTTTCGAGTGCAGGAACGCCCGCGGCACATAATTGATGCGGCCGCTGGTTGGGAGCTTTTGCGAATCGCTATTCTGATATTCTCGGGACGGTTTATTGATCTCGCCTTATAATTCATCCCCGTATACTACACTACATCGCCTGGCTGATAGGAAAACTGCCCACGATGTTGTCCCCGTCGATAAGCCGCGAGTCGTCGAGCTTCGTCGAGGTCTCCGAGCCGGACCCGGACGGCGAGGATCTCGAGTCGACACCGCACTCCCTGTCGCGAGCCGTATATGAGCGCCGCGCGGAATACACACGGTCGCATTCGATGAAAATTAAGGTCGGGACTTGGAATGTTGCTGCGTGCCCGGGAGTCCATAACGATATCAGGAGCTGGTTTGTGGATGGGAAGGGAGTTGATACGAAACTTGCGGGGCTCAAGATATCAGATCTGGACGGAAATAATGTTAAAGTACGATCTAAAGGCGATACTGGAGATCCGAAGAGTATACCAGAGACGCCGCTTGGCGACGAGGGAGTTGTGCTTGGTGGGGAGCATGTAGGTCTCTATGTGCTGGGACTACAGGAGATTGTCAGGCTGGCATCTGCAAAAGAATATATAGGCCGAGTTTATGTCGACCCCGAACCACTGAATAAGTGGAAGCGAGCATTGGAAGAGGCAGTTCCCCATGGATATGAGCTTATCGCCGACACGCAGATGTCGGGGTTACTTCTGCTCATCTATGCGTCGCCAGCTATCGCGCCTACGGTCAGCTCAGTGTCTTCTGTCAGTGTCGGCACTGGCATCATGGGATATCTAGGCAATAAAGGCGCAGTCTGCACCAGGATAGTTCTGGGGGAGACGACGCGGTTGGCATTTATAAACTCTCATCTGGCGTCGGGCACGGAGAAGGCACACTATGAACGGAGATGCTGGGACTACAATGAGATTACGTCTCGCACAAAATTTGACCCTGTCAGCGTAGCTGGGGAGACTAGCGACATCCAGGAGGTGATTGGCGACGAGGACTTTGCGTTTTGGTTCGGAGATCTGAACTTCAGGCTTGATGGGCTGCCAGGCGACGACATCCGGCGACTGCTGATGCTTCACGCAAGAGGCGAGTACGCGCCTGGCTCAAGCCCGAGAAATTACCTCGAGAGTGAAATAGCAAAGTCGGAAGAACCAATATTGATACGACACGTCGAGAGCGATGATGACGAGCCTATAGACTTACAAGCTGAAAACCCAAATACGAGCAGCAGGTCCTCTTCGATTGATCTTCCAGACCCGGATGACTTTTTGCAGGACCCCCATTCAGATCCTACCTCTCTTCAAGCCACGTTGGACTCTCTCTTACCCCACGACCAGCTACGGCGAGTTCAGCGACAGAAGAAGGCCTTCCATGATGGCTGGCGAGAAGGCCCGATCACATTTATCCCAACTTACAAGTACGACGTGGGAACTTTCGGCGTCTTCGATTCTGGTGAGAAGATGCGACCCCCCAGCTGGTGCGATCGAATTCTGTTTCGCACTCGTCGTTATAAGTCCGAATATGATGGGAGAGTACGGGATGAAGAGGCTGCGAGGGTAAAGGACGAGGAAATGAGGTCTCGTGGTATTGCACAAGCCGCGCAGGATGAAGAAGTAATCTTTGATTATGACCCCGCTAGCGATGGAGTCGATACGTACGGTGATTACGACGAATACGACGAAGGAGAGGACAATGGGGAGGATGTTACTGTGAAGGACGAACAGGCCGACAAGCTGAACCTTGAAATTTATACGTCGCACCAGAGGGTTACTTCTTCGGACCATAAGCCTCTAGATGCTGTGTTTACCATAAACTACGACGCTGTGGTCCCAGAGCTGAAATCAAGAGTCCACCAGGAGGTAGCTAGAGAGCTAGACAGGGCAGAGAACGAGCATAGGCCTGGCGTGACAATTCTAGTGGAGCATTCCGATCTTATAGATGAGGCGCCAGGTTCCCAGGCAACAACAGATGCCGCCGACGGTGTTAATTTTGGAGATGTCAAGTATCTATACAGCAAAGAACGATCCTTGACGATCGCAAATACAGGGCAGGTCCCGGCCACGTTCGCGTTTATAAGCAAACCGTCCGGGCCAGGCCAGCCTGGCCAGGTGGCTCCGAGCTGGTTGAGGCCTTACGATGATGACGGTGCGGTTAAGAGGCTCGAATCAGAGGTTACGCTTGAGCCTGGAGATACCATCATGGTGACACTGGAGATCTACGTGGAGGATTTCGCGCAGGTAAGGGCTTTAAATATGGGCGAGCTACAGTTGGATGAGGTGCTCATACTACGCGTCACGGATGGGAGGGACTACTTTATTCCTGTCAGGGGAGACTGGCTGCAATCATGCTTCGGTCGCACAATCGATGAGCTGATCCGCATACCCGAAGCAGGCGGGGCTCGCGCTCTCCGTCCCCCTGGGAACAAAGACGCCGCCCAAGAAAACACTCTTTCGGTAATAGACTCAAATACTCTCACCGAGGCCGTACCAAGGGAACTCACCAAACTCACCGACACCTTCGAGCCCCTCCTCGAGCGCGCCATCGCCGAGCGCGAAATGACCGGCGCCTCCGAAACCCCCGTCCCAGACGCCTGGCCCTTCGAGTCCACCACCACCTCCCACAGCCGCTCCCAAACCCGCGCCCTCCTCCTCGAAGCCCTCGACACCAACACCCCCCTAAACGCCTCATTCCCCCGCGGCGTCTGCGAAGTCGAGAAGCTCGAAACCACCGCCGAGGTCCTACAGCTCTTCGTTGCAAGCCTCACGGATGGCATCATCCCCGCCTCGTTCTGGAAAACTATCGACGACGACCTGGCGGCGCGCAAGCGCGCTCCTACCCCTGATGAAACTCGAATTTTGACTATGGTTCCCCTCGCGGACTCGCCACCGCACAGCATCGCGCTCGTCCACCTTGTCGTCCGCCTTGGCAAGGTCGTCGCAATGCGCGCGCCCCCGCCTAGCTCCCCGGCCACGGAGGCTAAGCCCAGCCGCTTCGATTTCAGACAGTCGATGGGGTATGGGCGTGCTCGACGCACGACGTTGACGGATGATCCGGGGTTGGCGGCGAGGAGGGCGATTGAGAGAAGGATTGCGGAGGTGTGGGCACTAGTGATGATTCGGGGCCCAGAGGGGGTGGGGGAGAAGGAAAGGAAGGCGAGTGAGGCGAGGAAAAGAGGCGTTGTGGAGGCGTTTTTGGCGAAGGTGTGAGGAGTGATGTTATGCGATGAGAGATATAAGGACGGTAGGGCGTAAGAGAGCTCGGATTGGGAGAGAGTCCTAGCGAGATTGAAAGAATCGACGTGGAGGCTGTCAGGTTCCGATCCCAGCCGAGCGTGAGACATGGGCACTCCCGCGCATCTCATGCGCGTGTTCCCCCAGGGTTCAGCTCAAAGCAGGTACAATTCCAAAAACCACGAGTCCTAGTCCCTCCCCACGCAGCTGACGTGGGGAATGAAGCCCACGCCAGCGCATCGGAGTGGAAATCGGCGTGGGGTTACCTGTCATGCGATTCCGTAGGACGAAACGTGGTCGCGGCGCATATTCGCACCAAGATCGCCGACACCAGCGTTAGTATCCGGAATCTGTACTATGGAATACAAAGAAAGTCTTTATCTCCTTCTTAGCTCCCCCATTTTATCACATCACACCCATGTGGTGACCCCTGTCGCTTGGCGCCGGCATTAGCGCCAACCCGCATCATGGTTATCTCTCGCACGGGCCACTTGGGGTGGTTCCGTTATCAGTTGGGAGGCGACAGGAATGAGTTGGGATAGGGTTGATATGGATGGGGGATGGGGATGAGGGATACGGGATGCGGGATGGGGATGAGGGATGCGGGATGGGGGATGGGGATGAGGGATGCGGGATGCGGGATAGGGACGGGGATGGGGATGGGGACGGGGGATGCGGGATGCGGATGAGGGATGCGGGATGGCGGATGCGGGATGGGGGTGGTAATTGGCTGGAGAGATGGGGTTTGATATCATAGAGATATCTGGGCTTGACACGTACATGTGAGGATATCGTGGCAGTGACACTGGTAGCGACCGGCAGGAATATGCGCAAACCTCATTTCATCCATCTACTATACTCATGGACTTACCGGGGTTTGTCGCTCTTTAGCTCCTTCTGACCCCAGTGTCCACTGTCGAGGTGGATCCTGGTCATAGATAGTCGATGCTTTCCATTACTCAATCCACTCCCCCCTGCTATCTGGTGGCTTAGCTTATCTCTTGTTAGTCGACCCCCTGCTCTGTGGGTCGATATGAGGATGATGAGTATGATGCGTACAGTACACAGTATCATACAACTGCGCTCCTGCTTGTAACCTGTGCGGCGCCGAGTTCATGCCTGTCCGTCTATTCCCGGCTCTGGATCCATCATGATTGGGCGGATACGCCCTCCTATTCATGCTCCTATTCATCGCGCTCCCTGTCACGTCTCGCGTGGGTCGACGCTGATATCGAATTTGGGGGTAAGGAGGGACGAGGGACGAGGGACGAGGGAGGACTGGAAATTTACGGTAAGGCGGCAGGGGAGGTATGAACTATCTCACCTCGTGGGTGACAGTACATAAAGGTTGGATACACCCTGTAATTCAGAATTTCTAGATCCTGAACTCATTGACAACGACAAACAACGCTGCTCAAGACCTACCTGAGACAGGGGATTCTATCAACGCAACTGCTCTGCTGTGCTGCTGACGAGCCTTCTTCGTGATATATCGAGCCCAACCCTCAATTCAGAATACGCACGATGGCGTCCTCACTCTACGCCAAGCCCTACGACGGCACCGCTGCGGACGGAGGTGATTCCCTGACGGTTAACCTCAACCAGTACTATGAGGTATGCGAGCCTGCAATCCCATCTCCCCTCGCAATGCGCCTCTAACCACCCGCAGTCCGGCGACATCTCCTGGATCATCACCGCCACTGCCCTGGTGCTCCTCATGATTCCCGGCGTCGGATTCTTCTACTCCGGCCTCGCGCGCCGCAAGTCCGCGCTCTCCCTAATCTGGCTTTCCATGATGTCAGTAGGCGTCGTAGGATTCCAGTGGTTCTTCTGGGGCTACTCGCTCGCCTTCGGCGCGGGTAGCAGTTATATCGGTAACCTCGACCATATCGGGTTCCGCAATGTGCTGGCTGCCCAGTCGCCGGGCAGCCCGAAGATCCCAGAGATCCTGTTTGCGGTGTATCAGGGCATGTTTGCTGCTATTACGTGAGTCTCCGCTGGTCTGGATGGCGGAAATGGGACGTGGAGCTGACAAAATGCATAGTCCAGCACTTGCCATCGGCGCTGCTGCCGACCGAGGGCGTATGCTGCCATGCCTGGTTTTCATCTTCATCTGGTCGACTATAATTTACGACCCCATCGCCTGCTGGACATGGAACCCCAAAGGCTGGTCCTTCCTCATGGGCGGTCTCGATTTCGCCGGCGGAACACCCGTCCACATCTCTTCTGGCGCTGCTGCCCTCGCATACTCCGTGATGCTCGGCAAGCGTTCTGGATATAGCGCGACTGCTGGACTCCCATACCGTCCTCACAACGTTACTCACGTCGTCCTCGGCACAGTCTTCCTGTGGGTGGGCTGGTTCGGATTCAACGGCGGCTCAGCTCTCGCTTCCAACATCCGCGCTGTGATGGCATGCTTCGTTACACACACCGCAGCAGCCACCGGCGGAGTGGCATGGACCATCATGGACTACAGGCTTGACCGCAAGTGGTCCACTGTTGGATTCTGCTCCGGTGCCATCGCTGGCCTCGTCGCCATCACTCCAGCTGCTGGCTACGTCCCCGCGTGGTCCGCCATCATCTTCGGCGTCGTCGGTGCCGTCGCTTGCAACTTCGCCACGAAGATCAAGTACCTCCTCCACGTCGACGATGCGCTCGACATCTTCGCCGTCCACGGCGTCGGCGGCTTGGTCGGAAACCTCCTCACTGGCCTCTTTGCAGCGTAAGTCGCTCTCCAAACACAGGAACCCTGAGACTACAGCTAACACCCAACAGTGATTACATAGCAGCTCTCGATGGCGCTACCGTCATCCCTGGTGGCTGGCTCAACAGACACTACATCCAGTTGGCCTACCAGCTCGCCGATTCCGTAGCAGGCTTCACCTACTCCTTCTGCGGCACGTGCCTCATTCTGTTCCTGATGAACCTGGTCCCAGGGCTGTCGCTGCGCGCGTCCGAGGAGGATGAGAACAACGGCATGGATGATGCGCAATTGGGAGAGTTCGCGTATGATTATGTTGAGCTGAGGCGTGAGACGTCGGATGTGGTTACCCAGGATATTGAGGCTGCCAGCTCTAAGGGGAGCGCGTCCATGAGCAGAGCTGGGAGCATGGTTGGGGCAGAGCAGAAGGTTTAATAGGGAGTTGTTGTATTGATTAAGCGCAATGGTAGATATAGGTGGTGGCAGTACCGGACGGCATTACAGCGCTCGATTGTATCTGGTTATAATATACTTTAATACCCAATTGCCTTTGTCTTGATCTATGAGACATGTTGGAACTACATATGTTCATTCTCGGATGGCATCTGGATTGCGTAGGCATATGGGTTAGTCACGTGAACTGAACCAATCAGCAGCCCGCAATTGATCAACCCGTCATATCCAGAGCCACGAATCTCCAAACCTGCGTCTCACCTTTACACACCCCGGCCCCGAGCCACGACGCTCGTTCTGTACGATATGGCGATGTCGACGAATCGAGGCGTTCTTGTGAGCGCCATCCTCGCAGCGACTGCAACGATGGCGATGGCACATGAGCACAATGAGGATGAGATACCAGATGGGAGTGCCGTCAGCGCAGAGCCGTTGGTTAGTTGTTCCTGGGTTTCTCGCTGAGATAGTGGGAGCTGAAGGGGAGTTGATAAGGTTGGATGGTGCTGACGGGTTGTAGGATGCGATTCTTTGGATACATATTATCATACAGATGGTTGCCTTTGGGATTATCTTCCCGGTAGGGATGGTGCTTGGTGTAAGTTATCCCTTCTTCCCACCGTCGATGCCCCTTCTTCGTGGTAGGAATAGAAGCTTACGCACCACTTTAGATCGTCCGCAACCGCTGGCATGTCCCCGTCCAAGTCCTCGGCACCATCATAGCAGTCGTAGGCTACTTCCTCGGCCACGCCCACAAAGGCCGCCAATTCGCACCCAACGTGCACGCCAAATTCGCCAACTGGCTCATGCTCATGCTCGTCTCCCAAGTCGTCATGGGCGCCTACCTCCGCCTCCACCTCACCAAGGGCATCAACGGCAAGGTGCGCCGCGGTGTCCTCCTCGGCCACAACATCCTCGGCAAGGCCATCCCAGTCGCTAGCTGGACGCAGATGTTGTTCGGTGGCATCGCAGCCCTCGGATTCTGCCGTGACGACCACCTGGGACAGTGCCTCGCTCACTTCATCATGGGATCTGCCTTCATCGCATACGGTATCATCATGATGATCATGCTGCTCGTTGGTCAGGCGTGGCTGCGCCGCTCTGGCCGTAGTCAGGAGTTCTTCGACAGCGCCGTCATCGCGGCGTGGGGTTGCGTCAACACCTTTACCGAGCACCGCTGGGGCGGCGCATGGGTCGAGAACGACATCCAGCACACTGTCATGGGTGTCATCTGGTGGGCGGCGGGTCTGGCGGGCATCTGGCTCGCGAGAGGCCGTGATGGTAGCCCCAAGCGCAATTTCGTGCCGGGTTTCGTCCTCTTCTTGACCGGATGGGGTATGAGCGCGCATCCGCAGCATAACATGCTTAGCACGATGGTGCATGTTGCGTTCGGATACACGCTCATGGCTGCGGGTGTGACGCGGATGGTCGAGGTGATGTTTGTGCTGAATGACAAGCCGTCGACGGACAGCGGCGAGCCAAGGTCGTTCCAATATATTCCACCTTTCGTAAGTCTCCCCCCCTTAATACTATCATAGGCCAGTTGGGCTAACTATTGAATAGCTACTCATGGCATCGGGCTTCACGTTCATGAGCGCTACCGAGGAGCAGATGGCGCTCCTCTCCGGTGCGGGCATCACGCACGTCTCATACATCCTAATACTCTACTCCTTCGCCTTCCTCCTCTTCCTCCTCGTAAACGTCCTACTTCACATCTACGCTGTCAACGCGGGCCCATCGGTGCCTCCAAAGGACGTCGAGGGCGTGCGCAGGCACAGGCCATCAGATAGCAGACAGATCCACGAGGCGGAGGAGTTTGAACTCGACGGGCTGATCAGCGATGATGAGGGAGGCCGGGAGAGGGAGAGTGGGCTCGAGAGCCCGAGTACGCTGGGGAAGAATAGCGAGGTTAGAGTTTCTTAGGGGAAGTGGGAAGTTGTAGTATATATGTGTTTGAGTTTGGCACGGAGTTGAGGGCATTGCGATTGCTAAGGAATGGTTCACTTATACTATTGTAATGCGGGATTGAAACGCCATGGGATAGTAGAAGTGTTTTTTGTGAAAGTTTGCGTGCTGTTCTTCCAGTGCTGGTTGGTAACGTGAATGTGAGAATCATTGATGACAAAGCCAGTCAAAATAGAAACCTGTTCCAGTGACTCAGACGGCGGCGCAGGTGCAGCTGTGCCTCTAGAAGAATTACAAAACCAGTACAAGTATCTTATATTATTTCTAACAACCCATCAAAAAACTATCAGACAGTTCGCAAACAAAACTTTTATGCCAAAGGCATCCAGAGTTGTCAACCTCTAAAGCCAGGACGGCCAAATTCCCAAAAATCCAACCCTCAGCCTCGCGCCGCCTAACAAAAAAAATGTCTTCAGCCATCCCAGCCCCGCCACCATCTCCAACCTCACCACCACAACAACCCCCCAAACGCAAACAAAAACAACCACGCCAACCACAACCGCACCCCGCCAAAATACCACCAGCAGATGCGCAACGCCTCCTCCTCACCACCCCTCCAAAAATGCCACCCCCAACCCGCCTCCTCGTCGCCTCAATCGGCAACCCAGCACCCTACCTCAACACCCTCCACTCCGCGGGCCACACCGTCCTCCGCGGCCTCACCATCCCCCTCTCCACCCCCCCCTCCTAAAATCACGACCCCACGCCAACGGCCTCCTCGCCCACTCTCCCACCCACCCCATCACCCTCTGGCACTCCACAAGCATGATGAACATCTCCGGCCCGGCCGTCGCGACGGCATGGCGGGCGTTCCAGCGCGAGTACCCCGGCGCCGCGCTGGTGGTGCTGCATGATGAGCTGGAGAGCGCGTTGGGGGTTGTGAGTATGAGGGGGGGAGAGAGGGGGACTAAGGGACATAATGGGTTGAGGAGTCTGGCGAAGGCGGTGGGGGGGGGTATACGAGGGTTGGGGTTGGGATTGGGAGGCCGGTTGCGAGGGAGGGGGGGGAGGTCGCGAAGTATGTGTTGAGGAAGATGACGGGGGGGGAGAGGGAGGCGTTGGAGGGGTGTGTGGGGGGGGTTATGGAGGAGTTGGAGAGGTTGCTTGAGGGGGAGAGGAAGTGAAAAGAAGGGGGGGGGGAGCGATTGTGATACCTTGGTGGGATGGGGAGCGGATATTGTCACGTTGTACGATTATAGCGAGGAAGCGGATGTAGGAATAGTTGCTGTATTGTCACTTTGACAACAGCGAAGATGATACCCAAAGAATAGATCTCATTGATTCCCACCCCACGAGCAGTTACATTAGTAAACCACCATATCAGAGGCGCGAACCACGAGTCAGTCGAACAGGGATTACATCCACACTGGCTCTCCTCCAGGTCCCATTTAAGTATATAAAAGCATCGCCCAAGCCCCAACGCCAACCCATCCATCCATATACACGCTCCCCCACCCAACCCACTCAAACAGTCCCGCACGCTCCCCCACCCAACCCACTCAAACAGTCCCGCTAATGCTCAGCTCCCGAATCTCCTGCAACACCTGCTCGACCCGCGTATCCAGATGACCCTCCGCATACTGATCCCTCGTCTCGGCATCAAGGTACTGCTGCACCTGCGCCATGCGCGAGTAGGCCTCGGCGCAGAAGCGCAGCTGGATCTTGACCAGCGCTTCGAAGGAGGGGTCGAGGTAGGGGACGCGCAGGTCGATGAGCTGGGGGAGCTCGGTGAAGAGCCGTTCGTTGAGCTGCTCGTAGGCGACTTTGGCCATGTCGGCTTCCTTTTCGGCGCGGGGGAGCTTCGAGGCGTCCTTGTCGGGCTTCTCGACTAGCTTCTTGACCTTGGCGCGCATCGCGTCGTAGTCGAGGAGCTTGTGGTTGCGTTTCTTGATGCCTGAGGGGGTGTTAGAGGGGTTTGGGGGGGGCAGTGCGGGGTGTGGTGTGGAGGCATACATTCGTTGATGTCGGGGAAGTAGGCGCAGAACCTTGAGATCGGCTCGAGAACAGTGGTTCTATTTGTATTAGCACGGGATTTCCGGAACGGACAAGGGAGCATACCGATATGGTCCGTCTAAAGCTTTGATCGTCTCCGCGTCTAAATCTGCCACTGCTTGCTTGTAGCTTCTGCTCACTCCATCGTTTGCTCCGGAATCGCCGTAGAATGCGTCGATCGTCTCCGCAATCGCCATCTGGGATCTCGTCATAGCTATCAGAGTATCAGCACTGGTCCCCCTCGTAAATGCCAACGTGCTTCCATACCTCGTAGCGAGTCTAAATATCCTTTTGCCTCCTTTTGCAATCGCAGTGATGCGGCTTCCATTGTGCGGTATCGTCTTGGAATAATGTCAGCATAACTGCCACGATAGCTGCCTGTTCAGACTACCCACCTCTCCTCCACTTCATAATCGCGGTCGTTTGTCTTCTCGACGTGACCTGTCCATGTAAGTATACATCATCGTACTGAGTGTGCTTCGTAAGTACCAGTCTTCATCATGACCTGGGTGGTCGCCCGATTGACATTCTTCTTGAATCCTATTCCCGCCATGGTCAGAAGTGCCCTCTCTGTGCCAACCTTCTCAGGTACCAAAACATACCTGCCCACGACATATTGGCGGATTTTGCTGAACGCTGAGGTTTAAAGTTCTGAGGCTCTTGTTATATGTCTTTCATACGTCTGAGGCGTAGTTGTTTTTGTGGTCGAGAGCGTTTGACAGAGCGGCATGCGGTGTTAGGCCTTGGTTTGCATTCCCTCCGCTTGGATGACGACGAAGTCACTTTTCGTGGCTGAGGTCGCGGCCAGAACCGTACGGCAGCGGAACAACGAATGTCCGATCATCAGCGACAACATCCAGGGGTATCACATTCCCTTCCCGTCCCAATGTATAATTAATATATTCAAATCAATCGATAATATGGCACATTATATAAGGTTTCTTGGTGTTCCATTCGCTTGTTATTCCATAATTGTACCGCTGTGTGCCATTTTGGCACTTTTTGATAAAAAATACATCGGTAATTTTCCGTCTTCCTTCATTCACGCTGGAGACTCTATCCGTGACCCGTCCATAAACTCCTCTGATTCACCATCTTCCGCATCTTTAGTGCCCTCTGTAGTGTCCCCTAAGTAGCAGGCTGATAATACAGTTCCAGCCAGTAGCAAACCTCCACAGAATGTGAATACTCTATCACGGTGCGCATCGCCTAGAGAATCATGTTAGCACATTACATATAACAGACTGAAGGCATAACACAAACCTTCTTTAGTCAGGCAAAGAAGCACAACCACAAAGAAATTGAGTGGGATTCTCAAAAATCCGTAGACCTTTGCTCGCACTCCATCACCAACTATACGTCCTCTTAGGGCGCCCATGCATGGGTAGTAGATTCCGATGCAGCCCTCGAATAAACAGAAGCACCAGAATGTCAGTGTCTCGCTCTTTATCAGAACTGAGATAAGTAGCGACGCCGTTGAGATAGCAATGGCGACTGTCAGGAAATGTGCGGGCCCTAGCATGGTTATAGACTTGCTAGCAGCTGCCTCAGAGGATCCACGGCTGAAGGCAATAGAGCCAAGCATCATAGAAGCCATAAAGGTGGCAAAGATTAGCCCGAATGGGATAGCAGATTGCTCTTTTGTGGATGGGTTAGAGTAGGCGTGGGCTGATTTGAGCGCAGCAGACCAGAAAAAGACGAAGAGGTACATGGAGCCCTCGAAGACGCAACATACGAAGCCCAATATCAGGATTCGTTTATCTGCGGTAATGTTAGCATACGTACACCCCAATTTACGAGTTCGGGACAAACCTTTGAGAATGGATTTTAAACTGGACTCATCCGAAGCGCCCTTTGACTGTTCTGTCCTGTCTCCGTAGTTCTCATTCTGAAATGCAACGTTAGCTGTCCATTCGCCTGTGATGAGAGTGCCAACTTACCCATCCTTTTTTTATTATTACCATTGCAGTCATCAAGAGCACAATGGCAGCCATGAATGGGCTCGTCTTGGTTCCTGTCATGGCGACGACGGTCTCTCCCACAACACCCGACAAAATTGCAACCACGCCATTCAGCATCGTCATGAGGCCGAACATGCTATCCAAAGTCATGTTGCTCCTATCCAAGCTTCGAGCAAAGTACTCCGTGACCATCCAAGACTCAAAGACGCTGTACATCAGGGTCGTTGCAACACCTCCGAGCAACCTCCCGATGAGTAACGTGACGATCTCGCTCGAGAGCTTCGTCAAGCAGGAAAGTGCATATGTGATGCAAAAGGCCATACATGCCATACGCCGGCCATACCTATCGGCGAGAGACCCAACAAACGTCGCACTGACGGCAGCAGCAACAAACCCGGCAGCAAACAGCATGGCCACGGTCGGCTCTGCCAGTCCATACTCATCTTTATAGAGCGTGTAGACATACGGTCCCTGCCTTCGCGTCAGTACAGCCACAATGTTTAGCTTTTTAGGGGGGTCTAATTGCCTGAAGCCAATCCGAGCCCATTACGAGCAGATAGACTGGGATGAATTTCCATTTGAACGACGTTGCGGCATTGTTGAGCTCGACCGACCCAGCCTTGGCGTCCTTTAAGGCCTCTCTGTCACGTTGATATTGCGAGTACGCCAGGCTGACGCTGCCCACCACCAAGACGGCGAAAGTGTTCCGGTAGAGATCCATGATTGATTGATCTAGTCCCCAGATCTCGGCTCGGCTCTAGCAGTAGCAGTCCTCCTCTCTCTGGAAGCTAACAATGGCAGGTTCTTAAGAGAGTGAAGACAATAATAGCTAAGGCTGCAGCAGCTATAGCATAGGCTAGGTCATTAACCCCGTCAACAGCTTGCCAACAACGATTGATTTGCGGGAGTCCGCTTCGGGTTGCGGTTGCAGTTATCGCGCCAGCACTCTGTACAAACAGTCAATACGTGCAAAACCCAACAGCGACTCGATCAGCCTCAACGCCAGCCGCGACATACGTGCGACATACGTGTACGTTTATGGAAGTCAGCTGACTGTCAATCCATTCCTCCTGGAATCTATATGTATATGGGGATCTTGATAGTTGTACGAGTGTTGGTGGACGGAGTATGGAGCCTGGAGCTGAACATCGAGGAGTGTACTCCGTACGTACATACGTATCTGTGTTTCACAATCCTTCCGTGGCGGATCTTACTCAGAGGCCTGGATTATTGATCTTACACACGAGCGAGATCCCGTACGGAGCCACCGAGCCACCGCCAGCCAGCCCTCCCGGTTTCATACATCCAAGATTGGCATACGGAGTACTACCCATACTAGTTCTCGTATGCCCATGACGTATCGCGGATGGGGAAAAGCTTCTGGGACGGGTGGGAAGGAAGATCATTGTACTCTCGTTGGTCCGATAAAGTACTTTGCAACCATACGATACTTGTCACTTTGTCTGACCATCCAAGGGGCTGATGATTACTGTAACTATGGACATACGAGTACAGGTAAGTAGACTTCTGTATCCGGGAAAACTTGGGAGCAAGGAGAACTTACCAACACGTGTGAAAGGATCAGTCTCCGTTCCAACTGCCAGCTGTCGTTACGGACCTACTGAGTTGCAGAGTTGCAGCGTCACTGAATTGCGATACTGAGTCAATTACCTCCTGTGTGGTATTTAGAACTCAAGCCCGTGATTCAACTCACACTTGACAGGACAGGACAGCAGCAGCACACTTACTCGCCTTCACGCGGATATACGCCAGCCAGCCTTGCCCAGCGATGGCGACCTTTGCGAGATCCAACCGGGTCGTGTTCAATGTGATCATTTGTGTCGTTCCCTTCTTGTTTTTCATGTCCCTTTATCATGTCTCGTACAATTACAATGACATTATAGATAAAGTAAACGGAAAGACGTGAGTTTCCCGCATTGAAGCGCTCATATTTAATGGAAGCATTGAAGTAGCCTTTCTAACGTGGCAAACAGATCACCAGAGAAACACGCGCCGAACACGCCGCCGAAAGTTGAACCCCCAAAGATCGGAACCCCCAAGCTGGAAGACGCCAACGTTGCAGCCCCCAAGGTCGAAGCCCCCCCCAAAGTTGGAGCCCCGAAAGTCGACACCAAGAGGCCCTCCTTCCGTGAGATCGGGAAGAAATTCGGCACCGACAAGGTCACCGCACACCACTACCAGCACATGTACGAGAAGTACCTTGAGCCGCTCCGCGACGAGCCGCTGAAGATGCTCGAGATTGGCCTCGGCTGCGACATGTCCTACGGCCCCGGCGCCTCGTACCACACCTGGCTCGAGTTCTTCCCCAAGGTCGACCTCTACTACATCGAGTACGACGCGGCGTGCGCCGAGAAGTGGGCCGCCAACACCACCGGCGCCACCATCTTCACCGGCGACCAGGCGGACGTGCCGTTCCTAAAGAAATTCCTGAACGAGACGGGCGGCGGTTTCGACGTCATTATTGACGACGGCGGGCACACGATGGAGCAGCAGAAGACCTCTATCGATATCCTCTTCGATTCGGTCAAGCCGGGTGGCATCTACTTCGTCGAGGATCTGGAGACTAGCTATGCGGCAAAGTACGGCGGTGGTCAAGGCGTCGCGACCACGTTTGTGGAGCGCGTGAAGGCCAGTCTGGATGGCATGATGCTGTCGAAGCCGACCCCGTATTTCATGGCCCACGTCTACTCGGTCGACTGCATGAAGGAGGTCTGCGCATTCTCGAAGAAAATGCCTGGGGAAACCTACGACTGATCACGCCAAGTAGCCGCTGCGTCTCTTGTGAAACTGCGTATGGGGCCAGTGGCCCCAGAAACCATAGGCGACCTTATTTTTTGCCCTTCTGAACTTGCAGGCGGGGTAGCTTGCAGAAATTTTGGTGTTTTACCATTTGTAGCACCGATATAGCGTTTTATTTTCCGAGGAAAATGGGAGCGTGTATGAGGGGAGGGGGTTAACTAGCGTGGAATGGGATATAGAGTATACTATATATGGGAAGGACAATTTGAGGTCCTTTGATCTAACAGGGGCATCATTCTTGGTATCTGGGTGGGACTGGGGATCCAGTAGCATGCTTAGCTGCATGATGATACCCGCAAGCGTGTTTGTACACTTTTGTTCGAGGATAACATAGGATCCTGAGAAGTGTTATATATATATTGCTCGAACTTTGGAGTCACTCGACCTGGTGAAGACGCTCGTCTCGTTCGCAGGCCCTTCCTATGTTGACCGTATCGATGCATCTGCATAGATATCCAATGGTATTGTATTGTGATACAGGTGACACCGCTGTTGCATCGTCGTCAGTTTCGCACCTGGCTAACCAAGTTTTATATGCCATCACCCGCGCCGTTCATGCTGCCAACGTATTGCAACTTATAAACTCTAAACTAAGCAATACTGAGGGGTTCGCAGCCTCTAACTTTAGGCGTCATATTACGGCTTGTCGTCCTTCTAACATTCATTGGCAAGCTTGGTAATGTTGACTCAGACCTGTGAAGCATTTGGAAGAGGGGTCCCGGAAAGGTATCATCTTTACTTTACATCTTCCCACCAAAAGCCTATGGCCTTTGCCAAACTCACAATGATTTGCTCGCGTGGCCGTGACACACATTATCAGTGATAGTCAAGAGTGAGACGACAACGCCCGGAAATGGATATTCGGACAGATCTACTTATAAAACAGCAGCTGAAGAAACAGAGCTGAGAAATAGCAAGACAAAAGTAATTGGTTTTGTCTCGGGCTTCTCGATTCACTCAGGGTTAGCAAAATTATTCAACGTATTCTTGAATATTTAAATATTTAAATATTACGTAAGCTTAAATATTCAAATTCATGAATTATTCATGAATTTGAATAGTGATTTTCTATATTCCATGAATATTCAAGAACGTCACATGATTATCATGTGATATTCTTAAATAAAGTTAGGGCAAAAGATCTATATACCCTGCAAGTAAGCGAAAAAGATTAGGGCAAAAATACCCAGTCAAAACAATAAATAAATTCTATATACCCAGTTATATCCCACGTGACCTGCCCAAGCCCAATCTAGAAACTCCCCCCATTCTCATATGAGAACGGGCTGTAAACCCCCCCGTAAACCCCCCTGTTACTCATATGAGAACGGGTCAATTATGAGGCCTGCGGCAAGTCCTGGCATTATGCCCAGGCTCGCCGCAGGTGCCGCAGCGTGTGCTGACCAAGTCTGGCACAGCGGCAATGACTGCCCCAAGCGGCAGAAGTCCTCCGTGATCCCGGCGAGCCCGGCGTCCTCGAGGACGTCGGGCATCCTCTCTCCAAACCCTCTCTTTTCGCGGTCGGGCGCGGGGAATTCGGGTGACCAGAGGGTCACAGACTCCTCCCGAGGCGTTAGGGTCTACGAGAAGACCCTCGACAGAGATCGGAGGCAGAGGCAGTTGATACTGCCTCTGCCAGCACACAGCAGACAGCTCTGTCGGAAGAAAGGGAGTCAATTGACTCCCTTGTTGAAAGATAAGAGCCATGGCGTGCCCACAAGGCATGCCATTCTCTTGGTATCGACGGCAAGAACAAGTTCTTGCCGTCAGGTCAACGAGGTAGATCCTGCCGTCTGGCTGGACTACCCGTGCCTCCGTTGGATAGGACATCTGGAGCCCGTTGCAACGGGCCCAGTTCCTCCCCTCCTCTACCAACCCGGTGATGAGAGGAGGCCATTGCCAAAGGGCAATGGCCTCCATAGCCAAAAGAGAGCGCTCGGCATGCTGGGCTATCACCCGGTGCCAAAGCGCATCGAGAAGCTCCACAATTGGGAGCTCTCGATCCGTGCGGATGAGCTTGTTAAAGCTCTCTGCGATATTTTAAGTATCGTGGCAATATCGACGGCCACGAAACTTTGCTAGAGCCCACCGTTCAGGCTCAGCACACAAAGGTAAGCTGAGGCTTCGGGCTTTAAAGCCCGAAGCTCCTCTAAAAGACTGTTGAATTGGGCCACAGTTGTGGCCCGGGCAATCTTCCAGAAGAGGGGCAGAAGTCCCCTCCCAAAGCGCTCTGAGAAGTTCTCAGAGAGGTGGCGACAGCAATGAGCTATCGCCACCTGCGGAGAGAGAGTTCTCTCCGCAATAAGAAGCCCCTTGTCTCTATCAGAGACAAGGGTGCTCGGCTCGCTTACGAGCTCTGCAAGATTCTCACATCTGGTGCACCCACCATTACACTGTAATGGTGGGTGCACCAGATGTGAGAATCTAGCCACCCAAGGAAGGGATGATTTTACTAAGACAACACACTGTCTTAGGAAACAGAGCCAAAGGGTTGTAGCTTAGACTATTCCACAACGCAGCAATCAGGTGTGTGATGTAGTGAAGTTGTTCAGACAAGTTGAGTCTGGGAACTCAGGGGTAAGTCAGAGGTTAACACCTCACTGACTTTTCAGAAACAAGGAGTAACAAGATGAATGCTTGGAAGCTTGTAAAAGACGTGGAAGTATGTGATAGTCGATTTACTGTATTGTCTGCTTGCCCTTTCTTAAGGAAAGGGCAATCCTATTCATGCTAAAGGAATGTAGTTCTCTCATTTTCCAAGACTTTCCATGACTTACCAGGCTTGGTAACTGTAGTCGACGTAAGAGAATCCCATAGAACCATCTCTTGGGTTCCTAGCCTATAGGAAGTGAAAAGGAGGTCCAAGGTTAGAGTACCTATAGACAAATTATGTCATAACTTAACCAATCTTGTGGGTAACTAAGGAACGATGACGTGTAATGAATCATAGAGGGTTGTAGAAGCTTCTAGAGCTATCGTTCATGTTCCTAGGCCTCTAGTTGGTAGAGATATGCCATGTGGTAGTATTGGCCCACCCCCTTAAGGAGGAGATTTTCTTAATAACTTGTTCAATGAGTGTCCAAATGATATGCCGTGATGTATGTAGCATAAACAGATGTAGTAGAAGAGTTTGCAGCAATCGTTGAGTAGTATTGCTTCTGTTGTTGGTGTGATAAGCCAAGATATGTATGGTGACTTGTAGGTTTGAGGAGGAGATTTCTAAGTTTGCTCTTGAGTTTGATAGCAAACTGAGTGCAACGAATGTCAGTATGACAGGTGGCTAGATTCTCACATCTGGTGCACCCACCATTACAATGTTCCAAGCATTTGAATTCCACGCAACAAGCTTCACACTAGGAATTCTGTTGATCTGGCCTAGAAAGGGCCGAGTTGACAGTTTGGCACAGACAAGTAATATCGAAGCGCGGAAGCTCTACCTGCTTTATTGGGACGCCGCTGCTGTGGTTTTAACCTAGACTTTTTAAAGTGAGGTCTTGGCTTTGGCATAGCTTCTTGCCAGCTAGCTACAGCAGGTTTAGATCAACAATCTGATTCTCCTCTAGCCAATTGAACGGTCTCAGATTCTGTGAATGAGATATTAACTCCAGATATGAAGGTGAGATTGCTTCACGTTGCTCAATCATATGGATTCCATAGATACTTGTAAAATGATTATAAAATGCTGCTTCGCTGCCTGTAAAAATACATAGAAAAGATAAGAGAATTTAAATTCCTTTGCTTAGCTAGGTTAAATATTTATACACTAACTCAACCCTAAATATATTTCTGTGATTGACGTGCTATTTAAAATGATACAAATAACACCACTTCATAAATCATCACCTTCAAAATTTACTTTTGACAAATATTTCTTTGAGATATCTGAAAAATACACCTACATTACAATTTACTGTCCTCTAAATGTATTTCTAGAACTCTTGATATTGGACGACTTAGCCAGAGCATCGATTCTCATTGGCCAAAATCCAAGCGGGGTGGCTCCCGCAACTGGATAGATAAGGTTAGCCTTCCCGATAACAGATCTGAAATAATTCATCCAGCGCAAAAAATCCCCCAAACCCCCTCCCACGAAACAACACACAATACAATACCGCCAACATGCCTTCTGTCGCCAACTGCAATGTCCCCAACAAGTCCCGCCGCAAGTCCAACAGGAACAAGATCCAGAGGCGCCGCGCCACCGCCGGAATCGCCAAGAACCCGCGTGGAATGGCTCTAAGCACCGTCATTCACCCGACCAGCGGACCGCTGGCGCCGCTGTCGGGGAAGAAGGCGAGGAAGGTTGAGAAGGCCAGGAATCACGCGAGGCAGCGTGCGTTGGAGAAGGAGTTGGCAGAGCGTGGTGAGGTGTCGATGACGGGTATGTTTTACTTGCTGGATCGCATTGTGTGGACTGCAGTACTGATTGTTTAATAGATGCGCCTGTGACGACGAAATCGAAGAATAAGGCTTCTGAGGGAGCTGGAGCGGACGGTATGGATGTTGATGAGGCTCTATGAGCGCTCTCTGAAGATCGATGAGGTGGGGGTTGGCAGCCCGAGAAGGAGATATTAAATGCATGGAAAGACGATAAGGTTCGCCCAACGACAGGGCCCCCTCCCATTGGACATATACGAGTCGAAGACGCCCAAGGATGAGTGTGGCAGGCACAACCAGAGGCGTGTGCAGGAAGGGCAAAGCAAACGAACCAAAAATTGCGGCGGAAAACGAATACGGCCGAATCGATGACCGGTTTAGAACTATGAGAGGTTTTAGCATGGGACTGGTTATAAGTGTTTTCATGGCGGTTGGAGTTAAAGGCAACTGCGGGTTGATACCGGTGCATGGAGTCTGAAATGATCACAATCAAGATCTCGAAAGGTCGCAGCTGCTGAATATACGTTATTGAAGCATGCTTTTTTTCTCCATCAGTGCATGTTCTTAGCCCATGCATATTGCAAATAATAGGACCCTTCGGTATTCCAAACGTGAGAAGAGCTTATATATTGCTATGTATGTTACCGTGGGAGTAGAAGATCCCAGCCCGCCATAATACTGTAAGCTATGCGGGCCTTATGAGAGAAGAGACCCGCCGTCCGGATTGGACAACAACACCAAATAATGCCTCGTGTATATCCCAGCGCCGATTTCCACAAAGTCAGGCAGTCAATGCGCAACAAACCGAACTCCAAGGACACTCCCAAAACCAAGCCCTCCGCGCAGCCACGTAAATGCTAGACCCCCTCCCACCTCGCACACTATTCCCCAGTCATGTCGTAGTAACATCTCCCCCTTCATGGCTCGCCAAGGAGGCGGGCTGTGATATCTCCCATATATGCTTCCTCGAGTTCGTAGTCTTGGCCGTCCATGCGATCAATGCCAACGAAGTTGAATGCCTCGACCACTCGGTCAAGGTCGAATCCCATGTTGACGAAACGATCGATGAGCTCTTTGTTGTAGCCTTGGTATCTTCGCTTTATTAGCATGTTTCTCATATCATATCCATTCAGTAACTCCTTACCTTAACATCAGTTCCCTTTGTTCCTGCTCTCTGGTCTTGGCAACTTTTGGCTTGCTTGACGGTGATTGGTATGACCCGGTTGCCTTATTTGACACTGGAGCACCGGCGTACTTCTGAGCCCACTCTCTTGCTTGCCTTTCGAATTGTTCGGGGTAGTTCATGAGCATCGTTGCGACTTCCGCGTCTTGGGGGTCTTTCGGCTCGGGTGTGCTCAGGAGGGATTGTAGAGACAGTAGGGCGGACTTGATGGTGAGAACCGGAGACCATGCGGAGCCTAGAGTATCAAGACAGATTGCTCCCTGCGGTAGATTAGTATGTTACGTGCCGGGGAAAAGAAGAGGCTCCCGACTTACAGTTTGACTGCTAACATTCGGATGCCATAAACGAGTCTCAAACTTCATGACCGGCGGCCTAAACGGATACTCGACGGGAATCTTGATGTCCACCACATACTGACCACCAGCATAGGGAGTATCCGGAGGCCCAGGGAAGGTTGCCTTCAGGTGCGTGAGATCCTCACCGGACCCCGCCGCGCGAGCCTCGATGCTCGATGACTGATCTTTTTGGATATCGCCCAACTCCTTTGCGATGCGGCGTATGCGGTTACTAGCCATTTCGGTGGGATAGGTATAATATTTCGTGTATGTGTAACTCGTACGGTGGCCTTGTGAGCCAAGGGGTTGAGGAGTGGCCTCTAAATGAAGTGCGGATCTGTTCGAAAAGTGATTGTGAATGACCCACTTCGTGACGATTCACACTCAGTCGATAGTCGTTCGTAATTGGCAGCCGATGATGCTGCACTCGAAGAATTAGCAAATGAATAGATTATCAGGCATAACCAAGTGGTGAAAGAGGCTCGGCGTATTCTGGATGCTGGAATAATGGAACGAGCTGGGATGCTCTGGCGGGGTAATAATAGGGTCAATAGGTCCAAGCTAGAAGTTACTCACAGAAAGGGGTCCCTCTCTACTACAGAGCTATAAATGAGTTCGAGCCGAGTCAGAGACAAAGAGTTTATATTGGTTCTATATCGCTGCTTTGTTGCGTTGTGCAGTGGTCCGTCTCAGTGAGCGATGCACAAGGATCCGGGTGGCATGCACAGTCACATGACTGGCTGTTTTTGGAACGGCGTTCGCGTGTCGCTGTCGCCTTCCAGAGCTGTCCATCGCGAGGCAGCTGGAAGCTTGTCATCGCATTACAAACACGACAATACCTTGCACCATCACCATCACAACCTGACTACCTACAACTCCACAAACACTGTGGTCAAGCTCTCTTTTTATAGAAGAGGGATAGTATAGGCATTTTATCAGCTGGGTGGGTAAACTTGTAGCAACACTATGGTTAGTTTGCCCCTTCGACCTCAAATCCAAAAGCTCAATCAACTGACATTATTTCACCTCAGGGTAACCAGCAGTCTGGCCTTGGAGGCCCAGGCGGAGGCGGTGATGATAAGGACTCAAAGGACAAGAAGGTAAGCCATCTCGACCTCATCTCCAACCATTCCAAACGCTGAGTTCAACCAGAAGGAGAAGCCAAAGTACGAGCCACCGCCACGTCCAACGACCCGCATTGGTCGCAAGAAGAAGAAGGCACAAGGACCAAACGCGACTGCGAAGCTCCCACAGGTCTACCCGACGTCACGATGCAAATTACGATACTTGCGAATGCAGCGAATCCACGACCATCTGTTGCTCGAGGAGGAATACGTGGAGAACCAGGAACGCCTTCGCAGGGCAAAGACGGCAAAGGAAGGCGGTGCACCAGTCGCCAATGGCGACCCGGATGCTGAGGATCGTAATGCCGATGAGCGTGGCCGTGTCGATGATATGAGAGGTAGCCCGATGGGAGTCGGAACCCTGGAGGAGATGATCGACGACGACCATGCCATTGTTTCCAGCACAACGGGCCCAGAATACTACGTCTCCATCATGTCGTTTGTCGATAAAGATCTGCTCGAGCCTGGGGCAAGCGTTCTGCTGCACCACAAGTCGGTGTCCATCGTAGGTGTTTTAACCGACGATGCTGATCCACTTGTCACCGTCATGAAGCTGGACAAGGCACCAACGGAGTCTTACGCGGATATTGGTGGACTGGAGCAGCAAATCCAGGAAGTCAGAGAGTCCGTCGAGCTGCCTCTCATGCATCCCGAGCTTTACGAGGAGATGGGTATCAAGCCTCCGAAGGGTGTCATTCTCTACGGAGCACCTGGTACAGGAAAGACGCTTCTCGCAAAGGCCGTCGCCAACCAAACCAGCGCCACCTTCTTGCGCATTGTCGGCAGCGAGTTGATCCAGAAGTACTTGGGTGACGGACCACGTCTCGTCAGACAACTATTCCAGGTACATACATACACCCCACCCCCCAAACACATACACATACTAACTCTCTCCCCAGGTTGCCGCCGAGAACGCCCCCTCCATCGTCTTCATCGACGAAATCGACGCCATCGGCACCAAGCGCTACGAATCCACCTCCGGCGGCGAGCGCGAAGTGCAACGCACGATGCTCGAACTCCTCAACCAGCTCGACGGCTTCGACGACCGCGGCGACGTCAAGGTGATCATGGCAACCAACAAGATCGACACCCTGGACCCCGCGCTCATCCGCCCCGGCCGCATCGACCGCAAGATCCTGTTCGAGAACCCGGATCAGCAGACCAAGCGCAAGATCTTCACGCTGCATACCAGCAAGATGAGCTTGAATGAGGATGTTGATCTGGAGGAGTTTATTACCCAGAAGGATGATCTTTCGGGAGCGGATATTAAGGCGATTTGCTCGGAGGCGGGGCTTATGGCGCTGAGGGAGAGGAGGATGAGGGTGCAGATGGCGGATTTTAGGGCGGCGAGGGAGAGGGTGTTGAAGACGAAGACAGAGGGAGAGCCAGAGGGGTTGTATTTGTAAGATGCACGGGTGGGTTTGGGTGTGGGATTGAGGGAGATGGTGAAGATGTACTTTAATCACTAGCCGAGAGAGAATGCAAGGTGGTTGCGTTGAGTATATCTGGAGTGAAGACGCGATCGTGTAGCCTAGACGTGATCATGCAAGGGGGTGTTTTGTTCTACTGAGACTGGGAGTAAAATATGCACATCTCCCTCTCTAGACGGGCACAGCGACGTAGACATGCAAGGGGTAGGTAACCCGCACGGATTCAAGCTGATTTGTATATATATTTAGTTCAACCATTAATACTTGATTACCATCCCTCCCCCTTCCCACCATCCACAACCACCAATCCCTAACCCAACACCGCCTTCAACGTCAACTTCCGACTCGAAGCCCCAACATACACCGTCTTCGGCGCATCACTAATAACCCAATCCTGCCTCCCCGCATCCCAGTTACTGACATCCCTCCTCGTCAACTTAAACCTCACAGCCCTGGAGCGGCCGCGCGGGATGGCGAGGTCGTTGAAGCCGCGCAGGACGACGGGGGGGTCGTTGGGGCCGCCTAGGGAGACGTACTAGTTTCCATTAGCCTATCCTCTTTATCATCGCTACATGGATCCGGGGAAATGGCAAAAAGGGGGAGAAAAAAAGGGGACTCACAAGCTGCACAACCTCCGTCCCGTCAAGCTTGCCGGTGTTGGTAATAGTAGCGCTAACCTCATACAACTCATCCCACAACCCGCTATTCCCCCCCGGCGCACCGCCAGCGGGTAACTTGCGCTGCCTGCTCCCGTCCTGGCTCCCCTTCGGCGCGTCTCCGTTGCCGCCCTCGGCGTTGCCCGTCGTCTTGTCAAGGTAGGGATACACGTATGCCTTCACGGCTGGGAACCCCTTTGGCATCATGTTTGCGGATGTCGAGTTATCCACCGTCCCAAACGTCGGCGCTGGCTTCGTCTCCCCGGTAGTGGGTGTGTACTCATCATCCTGCAACTTCCGGACGCCGATGGCGGAGTACTCGAAAGTGGTATACGACAGCCCAAACCCGAATTCGTACGAGGGCTCAATACCCGCTTTATCGAAGTGGCGGTAATCGATGAAATTACCCTCCGAAAACGTCATCTGCGGCACGACGGAGGAATCGTTGTAGAGGATATTAACGCCCCAGTCCTTGGCTTCTTTGCCCCAGGTGAAGACGCTCTTGGCGGAGGGGTTGATCTCGCCATACAGCACGTCGGTGATTGCATTCCCGCTTTCTTGGCCGGGAATACCGGCCCAGAGGATGGCGGTGATGTTGGGGTGCTTCTTGTAGGTCTCGATGAGGACCGGGCCGACGGTGTGCAGGACGACGATGGTGTTGGGGTTTACGCTCGCGACGGCGGCGATCACCGCGTCGCCGTTTTGCCAGAGGGTGAGGTTGTTGCGGTCCCCCTCGTTGTTGTCGACTGTGATGTAGTCCTCTCCCGAATCCGCATTGGCGAAGACGAGAGCGACGCTCTTCCCGGCGGCTGCGGCGCGGATGGCGGCTAGGTCGTAGTTGTTAGAGATGTTGACGAAGGTGCTGTGGTCTGTCTCGGCCTGGGCGCGGAGGGCGTCGACGGGGGCAATCAGGTAGGGGAAATTTGCTGTCCCGCTGCCCCATCCCATGGCGAGGGTTCCCTTGTCGCAGCCGCGGTCGTCGCAGGCGTTTATGCCGGCCGGGTTGAGGTGTGCGTCCTCGCCGATGACTGCTACGCTCTTAGGATTATTGAGGGGCAAGGCGCGCTTTGTGTTCTTGAGGAGGACGGTGGAGCGGGCGCCGATCTCGCGGATTACATGCTTGTGGTCGGATTGCACGTTGACATGCTTGTTGACGACGCCGAAGTCCGCCTCGCCGAGGGTGTGGAAGTAGCCGGTGGTGTTGCGCGTCCAGCTGGAGAAGTTGATGGGGATCCGCGACTTGTCGCGCCCGACTTTGTAGTAGGCGGACATGATGCGCACAGCCATGTCGTCGACGCGCCATTGGGGCACGGTCCCGTTCAGGACCGCCGCGGTGAGGTTGCCGCCCCAGTAGCTGTAGGTTCCTACGCCGAAGACCTGCTCGCCGGGCATGGTCATGTCGAGGCCGGCGAGGGCGCTGGCGACGCCGCTGTGCTGGGCGCCCCAGTCGGCCATGACGAAGCCCTGGAAGTCGAGCTCGTTCTTCAGGAGGTGGTTGAGGAGGTAGCTGTTCTCGCAGGCGTAGCTGTCGTTCAGGCGGTTGTAGGAGCACATCACGGAGCCGACGCCAGCCTTGATGGCATCGGCGAAGGGCCAGAGGTACATCTCGTGCATGGTCGTGTCGTCCATGTTGGAGCTCATCTGCTGGCGGTAGTGCTCCTGCTCGTTGCCGACGAGGTGCTTAGCGCAGGCAATGACTCCGGTGCCTTGGATGCCCTTGATCGTCTCGGCCATGGCGACGCCGGTGAGGACTGGGTCCGGGGCGAATCCTTCCCAGTTGCGGCCGCCTTCGGGGGAGCGCCCGAGGGGGCCGGCGACGGGGCCGAGAATCACGTCGATGCCCTTGTCGCGGAATTCCTCGCCCATGGCCTCGCCGCGGGCCTTGAAGAGCTTCTTGGACCAGGTGGCCGCGGTGTTGACGCCGGCGGGGAAGGCGGAGTTTTGGTCGCCTGCGGAGGTGTTAGGGTCAATTCCGTTTCTCACTTCTGTGCCTCTGGAGCTGGGCATAGTCTACTCACTGAACCTGATTCCCAATGGGGAATCCTGGAGGCAGAAACCATTGAACCCAAGGCGGGGGATGCCTCCAGTAGCCCCAACACAGAGGTCTTGCGTCCAGCCCGTGCCGGTGGTGATATTCACCTTCTCAAGCAGGGTAAGCCCACTAACGAACTCGACAGCCTTCTTATAGGCGTGGTCCCAGCCGTGGCCGCCGTGCATCCAGGGCGAGGGGTAGCTAGGAGGAGACAAGCCATGAGTCTGAGCACTGGCGCCGGCCGCAAGGGCAGCGGCGCCGACAAGGAGAGAATGGATGTGCATCTTCACACGATCAATTGAGCGTGGCAGAGGTGGAAAGGAGAGTGTCGACGCTGAGAAGAAATCCGCGACTTGCCTTGTTTCAGGTCGTCCGGGGGGGGGGGGGGGGGGGTATTAACAGTCGTATACAATAGGAAAGTAGGAAATGCTCGTCGCGTGGCAGTGTGAACACTGGAGTACTGTACCGTGAGGAGTGGATATTTTTGACTGACGATCAATCAATATGCATGTCGGTAGGTCAATGGGGGGACGTGAAGGTTGAAGGGTGGAGCTGTGGTGGGTTTTCCGTTCCTCCCGTCTGCCTGCCGTCTGCCTGGTTTTCCCCGTGTGCCTGGTTTCCCGTCGCGGTTCTTCCCTTCCTATTGCGGGGTCCAAGCCGCTGTGGGTTGTCGGGGAGACTCTGGTAACCTGGTACTGTACTGGGCCGCTATATCCTCGTCGTTGGCGCGTCGCCACTGGTGTCTCACAGCGCGTGCATAAGTTACAGCACAACACACGACACACACGACAACAGAGACAACAGAGACAACAGAGACAACAGAGACAACAGAGACAACAGAGACAACAGAGACAACAGAGACAACAGAGACAACAGAGACAACGCGATGAAAATGTCTGGCCTAGTCGTAACGAAAAGTACAGCAAGACTGCACACGGCAAGGATGGGGATGTGGGATGCTGACCAACTGCAATAGGTGACGTGCGACGGCCATCTTTGCCGGGTCCGGGTTAGCTGTGGGGGGCCGATGTACATGCATGCACGATCACATACTGTAGGCCCAGCCAACAGTATGTGCCGTTTATCAAGATGTGGGCGGGGGCGGGGGCGCTGCAGATTTGTTGTGCTTTGCGGTGGGGGACGGTGGGACTGTGTTGTACACGACTCGTATTTTGGTGTTTTGTATGGAGTAGATGGGTATATCTCTTGTGTTGCTATGATGTGTTGATATGATGTGTTGATGTGTTGATATAATGTGTTGATGTGATGTGTTGATGTGATGTGTTGATGTGATGTGTTGATGTGATGTGTTGATGTGATGTGTTGATGTGTTGATATGCTGTTTTAATATGTCGTATGCCGAACACCGCATGCCGAATCCCCCATGCCGAATCCCCCATGCCGAATCCCCCATGCCGAATCCCATACCGCCAGTATTCTTGTGCCAAGCATCTCCCACCATCGCCCGCGGAATCCGGCCTTGGGGTTAGCGTCAGTCCACTGTACAACAACTCCCAACTCCCGTACTGCAATAGGAAGTTCACATCGCTCCCCCCTCCCCTCCGTCCAATCTCCCTCCCCCGCCAACCAAGCCCTACCAGTGCCATCGGCGACTGGCCGGGCCACTACCAACAAGCTGCCATACAAACGCTCTCCCCCCCTCTCCGCGCTGTGCTACTTTCCTACTCACACACGCCTCCGATAACCCAATCCCTCCGATAACCTAATCCTCAGCCCCAGCCACTGAAAATCCGCTGCTCCGGAACTCCGCATAACCCCGCTACTTGCACTCACCCCACCATCAACCTCCCCAACTATGCCGCCCACCCCCTCAGCCGCCCTCCTCCGCCACTCCGCAACGGCTCTTCTACGGCGAGGTTCTAACTTGGCTACTCCTCAGCACGCCCTCGCCCGCCTCCCGCGCGCCCTCTCATCCGCATTATTCCACACCTCCCCAGCGCCCCGCCTCCCCGTCCCAGCCGCAAAAAAGCAGCTGCAACGTCCCATCGTCGTCAACTTTCCCTCAGGCGAGGAGAAGGAGTTGTAAGCCACCCCCTCGCCCCCCCTTCCCCAGCTCCGCATACGAGAAGAATCCGCTGACCAGTTTGCCGATGTGAAGACCGACGAGATGGTTGAGGTGAGAGAGCACCCCGCCAACTCAAGTTTTACAAAGGTCACGTGATGGATATTAATGCCCTGTGTGTGATAGGGATCATTGCCATTGCGCCGAGTGCGTGAATCAGGATACGCTGCAGCGGTCGTTTGATTCGTTTACGGTTTGTGGGCATCTGATTTTTTGAAAATGGGAGTGGTTGTGCTGAAAGATTGGTATAGATTACGGATAAGACGCCGCAGAATGTTAGGTCCAAGGAGGATGGGTTAGAAGTCATATGTCTGTCTTTTCCGTGGTAAGTGGAAATCATATTCGTGTCGTGCTAATAAACACCAGGGCAAGAAACCGGCCACAAAAGCTTCTTTTCCTGGGAATGGCTAGCGACAAACATGCACAAGAAGCCCTCCGCGCCGAAATACACCTTCTGGGGCGCGGAGATCGCGAAGAGTCCGCCGGATGTGCATTATGATGAGGTTATGGCGAGTGATACCGGGGTGGGGAAGTGGACGGCTAAGATTGTATGTTCTTCGTTTCTTAAGTGGTTATACGTTTCTAACGAGGGCTACAGCTCAAACATGGATTTTGCTTCGTGGATGGCTGTCCGGTTTCTCCTGAGAAGACGGAGGAGCTGCTTAATCGGATTGCCTTTATTAGGGAGACTCATTATGGTACCTCCTCCAACTCCCTCCCAACCACCTCTCTCCCAGATTCCCCCCTCTTCCCCTTCCGCCCACCCAACCCCCATCCCCCTAACGAACCAACCGTCTAACCCTCTCCAGGCGCCTTCTACGACTTCACCTCCGACCTAACCATGAAAGATACCGCCTACACCACCCTCGCCCTCCCCGCCCACACCGACACAACCTACTTCACCGACCCCTCCGGCCTGCAACTCTTCCACCTCCTCTCCCACTCCGGTCACGGCGGCGCCTCCCTCCTCGTCGACGGCTTCTCTTGCGCCTCCCAACTCCTCTCCCGCGACCCTCGCGCATACGACATCCTCTCCCGCGTCCCTGTTCCTTGGCACGCTAGCGGGAATGAGGGGGTGGTGATTACCCCGGCGACTTGGGTACCGGTGTTGACCCTGGATGGAGAGGGGGGTGTGAGGCAGTTGAGGTGGAATAATGATGATCGCGCGAGTATGCCGGTGGAGAACGCAGGGGTGGAGTATGAGGAGTGGTTTGAGGCGGCGAGAGTGTGGAATGAGATTATTACGGAGGGGAGGAATGAGTATTGGGGGCAGCTTGTGCCGGGACGGCCTGTTAGTGAGTTTTATCCTTTTCTTTTGTTTTCGTAGTCCTGTTTTGTCCTTTCGCAAACTTGGGGGGGGGGGTATGGGGTGGGCAGGGAGAGGTTTGCTGACTGCTGTGTGTAGTCTTTGATAACTGGCGGGTTATGCATGCGCGCTCGGCGTTTGAGGGGAAGCGGAGGATGTGTGGTGGATACAGTGAGTTCCCCCTTGCCCCTTTATAGACTGGCCCCTTTATAGACTGCAATGGGGATACTGACTAGATCATAGTTAACCGCGACGACTTCATCTCGCGGTACTGGAACACGAATTTCTCGCGCGAGGAAGTGTTGAAGCGGATTATCTAGATGTACTGGATATGCTCGCAGATGACATCTACAACATACAGAAACTTAAAACATGGACGCGAGGGGTCTAGATGATTATATTTACACACCTATATATGTACATACGTAGACGCATCTGATGATGAATGAAGATATTGATCTGATACGGGTGCGACCCCTTCTATGTAATCTAGTGATAAACAACTAGTATAATACAGAATAGTAATATATCTACACGCTCCCATCCAAACTACCCTCTCTCCCCAATCCCCAGGGTTAGCACAAATGCCTTTAACGTAAGTCGTGGCGTAACGCGGGGGATGGCGTAACGCGGTGGAATTTTGAAGAGAACACAACAAATCTGTAAATTTAACTACAATCAACGATAATACATGATCCACCGTCACTCTTAGATTGTTCCCCTGCTTCTTCCTCAATATTCAATGTCTGAGGAGGCGTTCTTATCCTTTGTTTTGTGCTTTTTCTTACTTGGGTTATGTGTCGCCTTTTCCGCCTCCATCACCGCATCACACAACTCTTGCATAGAAACATGAAAGTGACCCTTCAGAATAACCCTTTTCCCCTTCGTACGTACCGTACGTTGCTTTATAACTGATCGCAGGTTGTTGGCATCGAGTTGGTGGACAATGCTGCGTGCTCGAAGTTGCTCTGACGCAACTGTGAGTTTTTGGATGTACGTCCGCACTGGTGTTGACAGCACCCCACCACTATTAATCGTAGTTGTAAGGAGCGCATTTGCAGAGCGTAAGGTCATCCCATCTGGGGGGGAGCTGTTGATAAAGACTCGGTCAAAAATATCATACTGATGTGGTGTTTTTGGTCGGTCAGCCTCGACTGATGGTTCAGCATTGAGCAGCGTACGCAATGCTCACTGGGGATTAAAAGGAAACAAGCCAGCGCCACGGTATGCTGACTCAATGTTCTGATGGTTGCATACATCAAGCCGTGCCTGGATGTATGCCTCCATCCATTCATACTTCTGTATGCGCGCAAGTTGCGCTTGGTTGAGTGGGGAGAGCGCTGCTGTCAGACGCTTTTTTAGCGGGCCGAATATCGCAACATCCAGTGATTGTAGTAAGTGCGATGTATGAGGGGGAAGTATCAGTAATACAATGTGGTTCTGCATGCAATGCGCAATGAACTCCACACTAATGTGTGAGTCGTGGCCATCACATATAAGAAGCCGGTGCTGACCATCTGCTTTTGTACGTGTTGTTGGCTCGAAGATGCGTTTTAACCACTCCAACCCATGGAGGTTGCTTGTACAGCCTTTCGTATTCGCAGAGAAGAACCATTGGTCGATGACTGTGGGCGGAATCCATGATTGGAGAACGTTCTTGCCCTTAAAGATCCCGAGGGGTGGGAGAATGGTTCCGTCTGCGCAGATGCACTCGACCATCGAAACCCATTCCTGACAGCCAGGATGCGCTTGATGCTTTGTACGAAGTGTTGAATCAAGTATAATTCGAGTAGATTCCATTGTCCCAATCGAAAATCCGGATTCATCCATGTTATATGTGTTCTCTTGCGTGATTCCAAACTCTTGAACCACCTTGGTGTACGCGTTAAACCATGCCGTAAGCACTGGTTTTGTTGCACCGTCCATGCGTACAGTTTCGATCCGTCGCCCAATAGCGACCTGTAGATGGGGATGTCTGTAAGGACACAGGGCACCCAGCTCACAGTAATAGCATATGAGAGTGTGAGTCGGAGGCTAAACGGATGCTATCCTATAGGTCTACTACGAAGGATACAAAAAAGATGAAGGGGGAACCCCGTTGAGTCTGTTTCCTTAAGTACCCGAAACGGGCCCGACTCAGTTATCCCAACCCTAGCCCTGAACCTTCCACCGCAACAGGTCTGCATCAGCCCTGAACCCTATACACTTACCGTCCCCCACTATAGTGTAACTCGCTATATGCTCCTCTACTGGTTCGAAACCCCACCGAGTCAGATTCCATGCTTGTAGTGACCGTAACAGTTCTGAGACAGGTTCTTCGAGTATCTAGGTACAGAGGCATCCTTACAATGTCGTAGTATGAATTGTGGTACCCAGTCGCGACCGAGGGAAAATTGTGGTTGGGGTAGAAGTAAGTTTGGCGTCGCGTCGTCAAAATTGAGTGACCGGTGCGACCGGAGTTCTTCAGCTATTTCCTTCAACAACCGATGCCCTGGATGTAATGGTGGGTGCACCAGATATGAGAATCTAGCCACCCAAGGAAGGGATGAATTTACTAAGACAACACACTGTCTTAGGAAACAGAGCCAAAGGGTTGTAGCTTAGACTATTCCACAACGCAGCAATCAGGTGTATGATGTGGTGAAGTGGTTTAGACAAGTTGCAACAAATGTTGAGTCTGAGAACTCAGGGGTAAGTCAGAGGTTAGCACCTCACTGACTTTTCAAAAACAGAGAATAACAAGATCAATGCTTGGAAGAAAAGACGTAGAAGTATGTGCTAGTCGATTTACTGTATTGCCTGCTTGCCCTTTCTTAAGGAAAGGGCAATCCTATTTATGCCAAAGGAGTGTAGTTCTCTCATTTTCCATGACTTTCCATGACTAACCAGGCTTGGTAAATGTATTAGAAATCAAGTGCGACCCACAACTAGCTTGCTAATCATGTACTGAACGTAAGAGAATTCCATAGAACCATCTCTTGGGTTCCTAGCCTATAGGAAGTGAAAAGGAGGTCCAAGGTTAGAGTACCTATAGACAAATTATGTCATAACTTAACCAATCTTGTGGGTAACTAAGGAGCGATGACGTGTAATGAATCATAGAGGGTTGTAGAAGCTTCTAGAGCTATCGTTCATGTTCCTAGGCCTCTAGTTGGTAGAGATATGCCATGTGGTAGTATTGGCCCACCCCCTTAAGGAGGAGATTTTCTTAATAACTTGTTCAATGAGTGTCCAAATGATATGCCGTGATGTATGTAGCATAAACAGATGTAGTAGAAGAGTTTGCAGCAATCGTTGAGTAGTATTGCTTCTGTTGTTGGTGTGATAAGCCAAGATATGTATGGTGACTTGTAGGTTTGAGGAGGAGATTTCTAAGTTTGCTCTTGAGTTTGATAGCAAACTGAGTGCAACGAATGTCAGTATGACACTCACTGACTTTTCAGAAACAAGGAGTAACAAGATCAATGCTTGGAAGCTTGGAAAAGACGTGGAAGTATGTGATAGTCAATTTACTGTATTGTCTGCTTGCCATTTCTTAAGGAAAGGGCAATCCTATTTATGCTAAAGGAGTGTAGTTCTCTCATTTTCCAAGACTTTCCATTACTAACCAGGCTTAGTAACTGTAGTCAACATAAGAGAATCCCATAGAACCATCTCTTAGGTTCATAGCCTATAGGAAGTGAAAGGAGGCCCAAGGTCAGAGTACCCCTATAGACAAATTATGTCATAACTTAACCAATCTTGTGGGTAACTAAGGAGCGATGACGTGTAATGAATCATAGAGGGTTGTAGAAGCTTTTGGAGCTATCGTTCATGTTCCTAGGCCTCTAGTTGATAGAGATATGTCATGTGTAGTATTAGCCCAGTAACTAAGGAGTGATGTCATGTAATGAATCATAGAGGGTTGTAGAGATATGCTATGTGGTAATATCTGCCCAGTAACTAAGGAGCAATGACGTGTAATGAATCATAGAGGGTTGTAGCAATCGTTGAGTACTATTGCTCTTGTTGTTGGTGTGATAAGCCAAAATATATATAGTGACTTGTAGGTTTGAGGAGGAGATTTCTAAGTTTGCTCTTGGATTTGATAGCAAAGTGAGTGCAACGAATGTCTCCAACAACAACGCCAGCAACCACCCCTCTGAGAACTGTAAGTGACCCCTTCTCGTGGATTGTCCGACGGTGCACTAATGAATTGGATAGGATATTTCCATCCACAAGAACGAGTAGGTGATGTAAGCGCGTTGGCGTGGGGGTGATAACGTGTGCTGGGCTGACTGGATTCTGCGCAGAATTCCAACATTTTTTTTGTTTTTTCAATGCCGATTCCGACTCCAGCGGGAGCTTTGTCAGGCGCGTTCTGTGTCCTCTGCCTGCGCTGCCTTCAGGCCAAAGCTCGTGGTATCAAGGACCACGATTGTGTCTGGTCCCCCGCCTCCTCCAAGTGCGAGTACTGCACGGCGCAGCACTCCCCTTGCGTTCCGGTGAGTTCCCTTGTGCTGTTCTGTCTCTGTTGGCTTTTGCTAACAATTTGCATAGCTTCTGTAAGGATGCCTCCTTACCTAGATACTCGAAGGACTCGCCTCAGAGCTGTTATGGTCACCACGGGCATGAAAATCAACTCGGTGCTGTTTCGTACCAGTTAAGGAGCACATAGCGAGTTACACTATAGTGGGGAATGGTAAGGGTGTAAGGTTTGGGATCGATGCGGACCTGTTGCGGTGGAAGGTTTAGGGCTAGGGTTGGATTAACCGACTCGGACCCGTTTCGGGTACTTAAGGAAACAGACTCAACGGGGTTCCCCCTTCATCTTTTTTGTATCCTTCGTAGTAGACCTATAGGATAGCATCGTTTAGCCTCCGACTTGCACTCTCATATGCTATTACTGTGAGCTGCGTGCCCTGTGTCCTTACATTATACAAAAAAGATCTCGCCTGCCGGGGACGGCCGTACTTCAATAATATCCCACACCGGAACGACTAAGGAGAACTACCGTTACACCATCGACTGCGACTCGGTGACGTTTCGGAGGAGAGACCTGACGACTTCAAATAGCCGTGATTCCAGAGATCCCACGGACAGCCAGTGGATCAGGGTTTGATTTTTCAGAACAAGCTGGTAAAGTCGCCGACGCGTTGGCGCCAAATAGGATACGAGATCCTTAAGAACCCCCTCCTAGCACAGAGGAAAGGTAAGTTCTCGTACCATCATCTGGTAGTCTCCATTCCATTGGTTTTTGATGATCGCGACATGGCTGCGGAATTGGGGAGTCAACTTGTTCCACATGTACCGAAACCATTCTGACTCGGAGACTTGTCCTGTGATAGCTGCACTTTGGAAACGAGCCTTGAACTCTGGGAAGGTTTTGCTAGCATGCCCTTTCTCTCCCATTTGCAGGTCGTCGAAGAGGTTCCTGGCCTGTTCCGTCTCGTTGCCTGTGAGGTAGTATGAACCTAGTAGATCCATCATCTCCTCAGCACTGCGGAACCCATGCGTAGTGGACAGGTATTGGGG